TGAGGCGCAAGAAGCATCCTAACTTGGTGTAAATCAAACTAGCTTTGGTGTAAACAACATCAAACATGAATCCTAGTTGAATAGAAAATATTTCCGAAGCGCGTTCTTCAAATCCTCTAGACGAATATTCGCCTGCAAACTCGAAAGCCCTTCTACCATCTACACCTGTTGTTTCCCTGAGATAAGCTTTGATCCTTGTTCCAACATCGGAAAGATTTTTGGAGGAGAGGTAATCATTGACATCAGGTCTCATAATTGTAAATAAGAGATAACCTCCCAAAATGTATGGGTTTTCTTTCTGAAGGCGATCAAGGGCTTGATTCTTATCGAGGTTAGAATGACCTCGAAGATTAAACATATTAGAAATGATTGGTTTTGTTTTCTGTGAGTTATTCAGCTTGAGACAAAATATCTTCTCTACATACTTAATAATTCCAGCTAAGATGAGAGGGAGAGTCAAAAACCAGAGCCAAGAAAAGGTCCACGACAAACAGACGACGTAAATGACAAAAATGACTTTGACAACAAGGATGACAAGGTGCCTAATCCAAAGCTTGTTGTCTTCAAAAGCATAAGCTGTGATGGTGTCAGGGCCACCAAGATGTACCAAGAGTAAAGGAGCCCAATATGCTCTAAAGACATTAGTGGTGGTAGATTCTGCATAGGAGCCAGAAAGTTTGCCCAAAGTAGCAATGGCAATCCAATCGGCACCAAAGTAGGCAAACCATAGAATGGCTTTGAAGAAATGGTTAATTTTGTATTTTCTATGCCTACCTAAGACAGAGAGGATGATTTGTAAGGTGAGACTAAAAAGAACCATTCCCTTCACATCCCATTTCTCCCACACTTCCAGCAGCAATGAAAATGAACTCGCAATGGAGCTTGCCTTCTCACTGTTTATATATATATATAAAATATATAAATTAATTAATTAATTGTATAAAAAAAGGTAAGATACTTTAGTATACATTTTGATTTAACATATTATATAACATATTCATTAAAAAATCATCATTTTTTATCTAAAATTAAAGATAGAAAGACTTAAAGACGATGTAGATATACATACAATATGTAAGAACTAGTTAAATCAATAGTACTTGCTTTTTATTTTAATAGATAAATTGAGATGAGTGTTAGAAAATGTGTTAAACCAAATATATATATATCAATTAATTGAAATAAATGAATAATGATAACATTAAAATAGTAAACAAATATTTATCTATATTATAAAATGAAAAAAGATAAATAATTAGTTATTATCTCAAAATTAAAAAATTACAATTATTCTTGAACATGGGGAGTAAATTAATTAAAAATCTGACCTAGCTACATGAATAAAATATTAACAATTAATAAATGAAAATCAGGTACCACGCCAGAACTAAAAAAGAAAAAGAAAAAAGAGGAAAAATCTTGTCCTTAACATGGATCCAAGAAATTGAAATTATAATTAACTACATGATTAATTATAAGTTAAAATTAACCAGGGGACTTACTTCTCAACCATCTCTGGTCTCTGGGCCGGGCAACCAACCAGAAAGCTAATTACTTCTTGACAATCTTTAATGGATAAACAGAGTCTGGAGAGGCAAGCAAGAACAGTGTTTTTTTTTTAATTGTTATTTTCATTAGAGTTTGATGAGCTCTAAGGATACTCAGATCAATTATATATGGTATATACAAGACTCAAAAGATTGAGGCTCCTTTAAGTTATTCCTAACTTATAGGTTGAGATAATTGTATCACCTTAATAAAATACTTTTTATTGTTAATAAAAAGTGTTATTCCTAGCTTACCGCATAAGAGTTAACGCATTATTGCTTGCTTCAAAACATATAGTATACATTACAAAAGATAAAGTCAAAGAAAGTTAAAAATTTCATCACAATGGATTTTCCAATAAAAAAAAGATATATATTGGCTTGAACTTTAATTGTTTTTAATGTTCAAGATTTGTATTTTTTTTTTTCGTATTTGAATTCTGTTAATTCTAAAACTAATTTGGAATTTTTTTAATTTTTGGATATTGATTAATAGACATTTTAATTCAATATATTATACAATATATTCATTAAAAAACACTATTTTTTATTTAAAATTAAAGATAAACAAACTTAAAGATGCAACAATGTATATAGAATGCAGGAATTAGTTGGATTGGTTATACTTAAACTATATTTTAATAACTAAACCAAAATAAATATTAAAAAAATGTTGAATTGATTGTGCATCAATTTTTTTTTTTTACAGTTCTTTATTTTTTTAATAATACTTTTTTCCCTACCTACCTATCTCAAAGTTTCAAATTAAAATTTTTAATTTAGAGTCTCAGATTTATAATCACTTGAAACACACTTCTGTGATAATACTTGCAAATTGCTTATGCAATCCATGCATGCATGTGTTACATGACAAAATAAAAGTTACAAATCATAGGAAAGAAATGGACCCTGATTGGTGCACACCCGGATCCAACACCCGGGTGTGCACCCCCATATATAAAAAAAAAGATTGGACCGGGGAGGGGATGGGTTTTTTTTTTTTTCAATGGAGAGTGTGCACATCATTTCCCGAAAAAAATACATATAGGAGCTAGGATGAAAAGAAAGACGCACCCAGTTACATGCTTTTCTTCGTAAGTTGAAGTAGAAGACTGAGAATGTGCTAGTAACAAAGTTAAGGCTCATACGTGCTAACTTTAAGTGAGTTATAATTTATAAATAAAGTGAAAAATAATTGATATACGTTTAGTTCAACATAATTTTTAATATTTATCTGGTTCAGTTATTAAAATACAATATAAATATAGTTTAACTCAACTAGATCTTACATCATGTATGCATAATTATTTTTTGAAGTTTATCTGTTTTTAATTTTATATAAAAAATATTAATTTTTTAATAAATATATTTTACAATGTGTGAAACTGAAACATATACTAATCCGTGTCCAAAAAAGTTGAATTAATTTCAAGTATTAGATCTCTATTTTGTCAAAAGGATTGCACTCAAGAGGTGAACGTAAGTTATTTCTAGTTGCAAAAAGGGTGGAACATCCACAAATTTAGTAAACCTGTATTTGTGCCATCTTCCGGTAATTTCACTGCCAATAGAGATTAATTAGAAAACCAAGTGATTAAGTTTCCCTTCCTTTTCTTGTAACGCCGACACTATTCCAACAAATCAAATTGACCCATGTGATTTCACCACCTTTTACCTTGATGTAATAAGCAAGGGAAGTACTTTGAGATGACCTTAAACAATTTGCATACCAATACATTATGATGAAATTCCGCAACAAGAACAGCCTGATTAGAAGAAAGCATTATCCATGCTGCATAAAGTTCTTGTGCAATAGCTCCACTCAATGAGATGCCAGTTGTGGCAATATCAATTCTTGAGCCATGGAATTTCGGCTCATTAATGATGTTGATAAAGAAGAGCAGCAGAACTGAGAAAGAGCTAGTGAAACTAGTGAGGCGTAAGAAGCATCCTAACTTGGTGTAAATCAAACTAGCTTTGGTGTAAACAACATCAAACATGAATCCTAGTTGAATAGAATTTATTACAAAATGGTCATTTGCGTGGCTAACAGGAAAATATTCGCTTGCAAACCCCAAAGCCCTTCTACCATCTATACCTACAGTTTCCCTAAGATAAGTTTTGATCCTTGTTCCAACATCGGGGAGATTTTGGGTGGAGAGGTAATCATTGACATCAGATCTCATAATTGCAAAGAATAGATAACCTGACAAAACGTTTGGGTGTTCTTTATGAAAGCGATCAAAGGTTTGATTCTCGTTGGGGTCAGAGTGACCTTGAAAATTAAACATATTTGTTTTCTGTGAGTTATTCAGCTTGAGACACAATATCCTCTCTACATAATAATTCCAGCTAAGATGAGAGGGAGAGTCAAAAACGAGAGCCAAGAAAAGGTCCCCGACAAACAAATGACATAAATGACAAGAATGACTTTGACAACAAGGATGATGAGGTGCCTAATCCAAAGCTTGTTGTCTTCAAAAGCATAAGCTGTGTCGGTGTCAGGGCCACCAAGATGTACCAAGAGTAAAGGAGCCCAATAAGCTCTAAAGACGTTGGTGGTGGTAGATTCTGCATAGGAGCCAGAAAGTTTGCCCAAAGTAGATGAACAGAGTCTAAAGAGGCAAGAAAGAAGAGTTTTTTTTTTTTTTAATTGTTATTTTTATTAGAGTTTGATGAGCTTTAAGGATGATCAGATCAATTATATATAGTAAATGCAAGACTCAGAAGATTCGAGGCTCCTTTAAGCTATTCCTAACTTATAGGTTGAGGTAATCTTTTCACCTTAATAATATACCTTCTATTGTCAATAAAATGCATTATTCCTAACTTATCACATAAGAGTTAATATCACTATTCCTTGCATCAAAACATATAGTATACATTACAAAAGATAAAGTCAAAAAAAGTAAAAAATTGTATCACAACGGATTTTCCAATAAGAAAAAGATATATATTGCCTTAACTTTAATTTGTTTTATGTTTAAGATTTGTAGTTTTTTTTTTTTTTTTTGTTAATTCTAAAACCAATTTGGAATTTTTTTTAAAAATTTTTTAGATATTGATTGGTATATATTTAAATTCAATATACTACACAACATATTCATTAAAATATCATTATTTTTTATTCAAAATTAAAAGTAAACAAACTTAAAGATGTAACGACGCATACTAGATGTAAGAATTAATTGTATTTTTATACTTAAATTATACTTTAATAACTGAACCGAAACAATTATTAGAAAGTGTATTGAACCAATTATGCACCAATTATTTTTCGTAGGTATGATTTTATAATAATTTGAAACACACTTTTAATCAAGAAATGGTTAGACTTAGAATCTCAAATTTATAATGACTTGAACCACACTTTTGTAATAATACTTACAAATTGCTTATGCAATCCATGACTGCATGCGTTACACGATCGAATAAAAGTTACAAATCATGGGAAAAATATATATGTAGGAGCTAAGATGAAAAGAAGGATACCCAGTTACATGCTTTTCTTCCTAAGTTGAAGTGAAGAATGAGGATATGCTACTAACAAAGTTAAGGCTCATATGTGTTAACTTTAACTGAGTTATAAGCAGAGTGAAAAAATAAAAAATAATACTTTTAAAAAAATTTCAAATTAACAGAGTAAAAGAACCTCTACCTTATTAAGTGTGTGTTTGGTGCAACTTGTAAAAAAATGCTTTTTAACTTCAACAGCACGAGTTAAACCAAACACCACTTTAAGTATAGCTCTTGAGAAGCCCTTAGAAGCAGCTCTCAGCTTCTTGTATAAAAGAAATTGAAAAGCATCAAATTGATGCTTTTGTAGGATCTTCACCTCTTTTAATGAACTATTGCTTTCTTCCCATTTTACCTTTATCTCTTAATATATTTACAACTAATCACCTATATATATCGTCAAAATTATAACAAAACAAACCCTAACACACCTTCTCTTTCTTCTACATCTTGCTTCTCTTCCACCCTCCTTCATCTTCTTCTATCTTCTTTATCCTTCCCCTTCTCTTTTTCTTGGCCCTCCTTACCATTTGATTCGAATTTCATACTAACAAAGCTCCATATCTGCAAATCTAACAATCCAAATTGTGATAGATTTAGAAATACTTGGTGAGAGCTTTTGAGTTCTATACCTTTTTAGCCTTTGTTATTTTGAAATTTATAAGAATATCAAATGGGTTTTAGTTGTTCAAGATTTAATTTTTAAAAAATTAGAAATTGTTAATGAATTTTGGAGATTGCCCAATGGATCTAATTCCCAATTTTAATTTCTTCTAACTTTTTCTTTGAATTTGCTTTATGGAATTCATGTTGCTGCAACTTGTGACGCTCTATTTCACCCTCATTCTCTTCATTTTTTCAGTCCGTCCAAGGAAAATTTTCAACTGGAGGTTTTCTGTGGGTTGGCTGTTTGGCTCTTAGGAAAGTAAAGGAAAATATTGATGATAATTAACTGTGATTTGGTGATTAATTGGAATTTTTCGGTGGTTTGGTTTGCTAATTTATTGAATTTTTTTTTCTTGTGATTTGGATGTTTGGTTCATGAGAGAGAAGAAAGCAAAATATTGATGATAATTAATATTTG